GATCCATAACTGCCCCAAACTTATACAAACACCTGCACAGAGCCCAGACCATAACATAATTGAGCATCTTTGGGAAGAATTAGCTAGGAGAGTGTATGAGAAAAAATTTAACTCCTTAGTTCTGAACAACAAAGGATATGCAACTAAATATAAATTTCCCCATTTTTTGTATTTTTTAAAATTGATACTTTGATTTGTCCGATTTTGCGTTGAACACAATAAATTGAGTTAATTTTGTTTTTCTGGCGAAATTTACTGTTATCACTAGGAAAGTTGTTGTTTTTTGTATTGTTCAGAAATATAAGTAAGTAATGTATAAATAAAAGCGAAAAAACTACACATTTAGACAATTTCTTTGAAATGTATAGCATTATTATATCTGACAACCACTTGTCCGATTATTCGATGGAGCCACTGTATGTATAATATTTTTGATAAGGTATCTAAAAAAACCAGTGAGCGGAGCAGTATAGTCGGACGGGGCCGACCATATGATACCCTACACAACTACCACGAAATTCAAACTTTCTACGGAGCCTAGGCAATATTTCGTGATATTTGCACCCTCTTGCACGATTAGAGGTAAACAGCAAGTCTTCCTTACACTGACATATTTTCCTATTGTTCAGAAAATAACACAAAAAAAATATAAGTTTTCAGGCCACTTAATTCCAAAATTATTATCTCATCATCACCGAAAATTATAGGCGTTGTACTTGACCATAACTGGAACCTCATGGAACATTTCAAAGCGATCAGCGCTATAGTTCCGCTCTCTAGAGTGATAATGGGTTACTAAATAATATAAGAATACGGAGATACCTGTAAATATTTAGGTGTAACTCCCGTATCCGAGCACATACGACAATATAATTGGTATTAATTTAAAGGTCGACCACTCCTCTTGGATATAATATCAACGTCTCGGGTCTATGTCCTTCAGGGGTAATTATATACGCCATAGAATACAAATTTTGTAATTTTTCACACAAAAGTCAGGCTCCATTTGACCCGCTAAATATTGACCGATCTTTATAAAAAGAGGCATGCTTATTCTTTGGCCCGATTCCTTTCTCCATGCTAAATTTCACGATGTTCGGGCCATTATTGCGGCCTCTGGAGCGACCAGAAAAACCGATAAAAATTTAGTATTTGGTCCATTTCATCTCCTAAATATTAACCGATCTTTCCCAAAAACAATAGGGGTCTTCATTGGCCAGAACCCATCCTACATACAAAATTTCGTGAAGATTGGTCCATAACTGTGGCCTGTATCGTGTTTACAAATTATAATGGACAGACGGACGGACGGACACACAGGTCTAGATCGACTCAGCTAGTCGAGATATGACGATCCGTATACTTAAAGGTGGGTCTAGGACCAATATTTCGCGGCGTTACAAACTTTTGGGGCTGCACAAAGCTATAATACCCTGACAACATAGTTGTGTAGCGTTTAATTAAAGAAAGTTTCCTTTGCTACGTGGAATTTGAAGGATTGACAGGAAAATAATTTTCTACCGTCATTATAAACGCAATAATATGTTTGGGTTTGGATCCAACAGTTTCGAGAGGTCAAGGATTTGACAGCGTGTCTAAGATGCAGGCAATTATATTGGAGTGCAGGTCATTATTAATTAAAATTCATTTCTGCCGCATAAATTCATCGTTATTTCAACATTTAAAATTAAGTTTAAATGCGTCTGCGAAGATTCGATAAATTCCATGTATATTTTCTAACATTTTGGAAAATGACTCATTCTTTGGAAAATCCAAAAAGGTCCGTTACTTTATGTAGAATATTTCGGAAAGCAAATAAATGAAGTCAATGACTTAATATGAATTTATTTCTAAGAAATAGAAGTTTCTGTGCCACGATGGGTTGTACAGATCAAATGTAAGGAGTTGGAACGGAGCTACATTATTTATCCCATGTTTGGAGAACTAACTAAGATTTAATAGAAATCATACAATTTTATGAAAAATAGCTGAATGTGGATCTGTGGATCATTATGTGGAAAGCGAAAGATTGCTACATTTACACATTATATTTGAAGAAGGACAATTTTTCTTTTTATACTCTTCACCACACTGTTACAGGGTATTAAGTCTTTGTGTATATGTTTGTAACAGGTAAAAGGAATCGATATCGAACCATGGTTCCTTTTGAAAATACGCATAGAATCACTTTCTGAGTTGATTTCGGCATGTCCGTCCGTCCATGTATTTTTGTGAACAAAGTACAGGTCACATTTATAATCCGATTTGGATGAAATTTGACACAAATCACTTATTTGGCAAGGACGAACCCTATTGAAATTGGAGAAAATCAGTTCAGATTTAGATTTGGTCCGATTTTATGTAAATGGTGGACCAAACTCCCAATATTGATCCGATTGAGACAAAATTTTGCATAGAGTACTGAATTAGGTCTAGATTGATTTATGCCAAGTTCTATTGAAATCGGTTTAGATTCAGATATAGCTTCCATGGAACACCATACTGCCATTATTGGTCCAACTGAGATAAAATTTTGCACAGAGAACTGAATTAGGTTCTCTCTAGATTTAGATATAGATACCAAATATAGTTTCGCCCGATTTCATGTAAATGGAGCACCAACGAGTCAAATTGAAGCCAATTGAATTGAATTAATTGAAGCACAACATTTTGCACAGCGTACAGAATTAAGTCCAAATTTATGTATGCGAATTTTTGTTGGAATTGGTTCAGATTTAGATATAGTTGCTTCCGATTTTATGTAAATGGTGCACCATACTGCCAATATTTGTCCCATTGAGACAGAATTTTACACAGCGCACTGAATTAGGTCCAGATTGAGGTATGCCAAGTTTTGTTTTTTTTTCGTCTGAAACAAAATTGTGCCTACCGTATTGATGTTACTACAGGTTGACATCCGCGGAGTTTTGCTCGATGATTGACATTCACATAAATTTTAGATTTTAGTATGGGTTGTTTTAATTTAGTTCAATTTTTTTGCTCGATGATTGACATTCAATATTTCATAAATTTTAGATTTTAGTATGGGTTGTTTTAATTTAGTTCAAATATCTATGTACTTCGCGCAGTTAATTTCGTCCATTTCAATGGTCCTCCAATTTCTATTTTAGGTAAAGGATATTGTATATATGAACATGTTTTGTATGTACCCAAAGTGGTGAAGGGTATCATATAGTCAGCCCGTCCGACTTTTGAACTTTTGTTTACTGTTTTTTTTTCTGTTAATTGGTGTGGCACCCAAACATCGAGCTTTTTTTTGAATCCAGCTTTGGGTAAATGGTTTAAAACAGTTTTATGGTCGATTTTTAGCTCCTGGGCGATGTTACGACTGCTAACATGTCGGTCAATTTCGATCATTTCTCCGATTTTATCGACATTTCACCAACGGCCTAATGGATTTCTTTTTCCCCAACCTAATATTTTGATTAATGTTAGTCAAATTTACCCACCGAATTTGGTATTGCGTGACATAGTCTCCATATAAAAGTCCCCACCTTTTTAAGAGATTTTGAAAACACCCTACAAGTTGTAGGTCAATTTTTCACCCGAATGGATTTCTTTTTCCCGCCCCTGGGCGATGTTACTACTGCTAACATGCCGGTCAATTTCGATAATTTCTCCGATTTTATCGACATTTTCAACGACCGGCCTAATGGATTTCTTTTTTCCCAACCTAATATTTTGAAAATGTTAGTCAAATTTGCCCACCGAATTTGGTATTCCGTGACATAGTCTCCATATAAATGTTCCCACCTTTTTAAGTGATTTTGAAAGCACACTACATGTTGTAGGTCATTTTTTCACCCGAACCGATTTCAACAAAACATAATTCACGTCATTTTGTAATGAAATTTGTTCATTTGCAGAACTAATTTGACGACCAGCGAAGAATTTATAGAAAAAGCTTACAGTATGCGAATTCTTCAAGATCTAATAAGGAATAATGTGGCCTGTTTTGTCCGACAATGAGTTTCAATTAGGTTTAATTTGCAGCAATGTAGCTATTACGTATTCGGATTGGTTCAACAATATTATTACTTTTCGTCTTTGTAATGTTTAATATAGCATATTTGCCCTATTTAAAGCTGGGCCAAAGATTACCCGGGATCAGACCTTTATAAGCTGAGAATCATTGCCTTTAAGTGCCTCGGTGGATTGATTGATGATGGTGGGGTAATATCATTATATTATAATTACTTTAATTTTGTGTATACAGTATCATGTTTATGGTGCATTATAATATAATAATTAAACAACACAATTAATGCAAAAAAGCTTCCGCCACCACCATCATAATCAGCCACACAAAGCATTTAAAGATCAAATATAATTCCAAAGTAATATATGAATGTATATAGACACAAAAATACAAAACTACAACATTTTTATACAATCTCCATGTCATGGATATAAATTAATAGAATTTTATTTACAATAAATAATTATACATACTTGTTTTGACATAAAATACTTTGAGGTTTGGTTGTTGTTGTTGACAAGAAAACAAAAAGAAATAACAAACAAAATACATAATTAATTATAATTACGTTTTTTATAAATATTTTGTACAAATAATTTAACAAACAAATAATCTTGCAAAGTGAGGGATTGAGGCAGGATAGAAAACTTATCTCTAGGTAAAAAAGAAAAAAAAATACAAACTACCAGTGAAACGTGGGGATTGGGAAAATGGCAAGGGTATTTTATTGTGGGGGAAAGCGGGTATGTACTGGCACAAATGGAAATGAAATTTTAATACTACCCACCATATTCACCAATCGATCGTAGGGGTTTATGGAGGTCTTATAGAATTTATAAAAAACATACAATTTCCAATTTATTTTATTTTGTTTCGCATGAAACAAAAGGAATGGGGACAGGGTAATATCTACACACACATATACATTTATTTACAGACGTGTTTGATTTGCATATTTTCGTGGTGGAGGTTGGGGTACGCTCGATTCATAATAATTTACCGGACGCGATAACAATTTGGTGGGTATTATACGAGGTTTACTTAACACTTTCTCAAACATTAGAGATTTCTCTTTAACATTGGGTCCCACTGGGCCACTTACATCGGCATCATTGAGGAAACCAAAGACATCATCGACAATTTTCTTCGAGGACTCGTCATCAATGTAGTTGTTGTTATTACGTTCCTCCTCCGGTTTAACATGGCCATTAGTTGTAGTTGTATTTGTTGTACGTGGTGTAGGGGCAGGACTTTTCTTCAGAGGATCGATGCCTTTCAGACGTTTCTGATAATTATCCTCAGCATGCTGCTTCCAACGACGTTCGCCTTCCCGGCGATATTGTTCCTCCTCTTGTTTCCTCAGGGCCCGCAATTCTCTTATCTTCAGCAAACGTTCAGCATATTTTGCTCGGAATTCCTTGCGTGCCAAATAGCCTCTACAGCGGGCCTGCAGCAATGTTACACGTCTTCGTAGTTGGACAAAATCATAGGTTAATTGTCGTGATTGGACCTTGGCCGCCAGACGATGGAAACCCCTCTGCATTAACAAGAAGTCTCGACGTGGTTTACAGGCTCTCCAATTTCTTTGTATCACAATGGCGGCATTACGATGCTTTTCCATATAACGTTTAAATATTAACCGTCTTACAGCTCTCTGGATGGTAACAATGGCTTTGAGTATGGCCCGCGACCTTTCCTCCTCCAATAGGGCGTCGTCACAATCCTTCAGGAAAACTTTCGTTAAACCAAATTGATGATCCGATTTCAGTGATAATTCTTTATGGCAAATATCCTCAGTGACTTGGCGATAGTTCACCTTGTCCAAGGGGCCTAAGCCACGCATGAGAATACGATAACGTTGCACAAATTCCTTGTAGGTGTGGCGTATGGGATAGCCAGCACGTCGTATGCGCGCAGTTTCCATCATACCCGAGTAGCGTAGCTGGCGGACACATAGTTCACGATCGAATTGCTAGAAAAAGAAAAGAAGCCGAATTATTTTAAAACTCTCTCCTGTAATATCTCTCCCCAAAACTTACATTTGGTTGTTTATTTTCATTGGGTTTGATGCAGCGTATAAAGAATGGGTGAGCAGCCGCCAATGTTCGCATCAGCAACTCTAAAGAGTTGCGGAATTTCACCGACAACGTCACCTGTTTCTTAATCGTATCGAATGGTACCGTCACCGGGAAAATTTCCTTCAGGAATTTATTTTTCGATTTGGCAATCATCGTATTTAAATCCATACTAAATGAATCACGATTCTTCTCCAAAAATCCTTGAGGATTATACATAACCACACCGGCATAATGTCGAATACCGAATAGAGTATTGGATCGTGATTTAGTTTTAACATAAATCGAACGATTACCATGTTGCGAATGCAATTTTTCGAGCAACGTATAGTCAGTACCTTTGGGGAATTTCGATTCTTCATCGATAAGAGACATAATATTAATGGCTTTCATGCCGATCATATCGAGCACCTCTTGATTGTCTTGAAATTCAATATGTTGCCAACTGATATTCTCCTGTTGATATTCGGATTGTTCCATCTGCAATGAAAGATGACGAAAATATAATTATTGATTTATAAGAAATAAAATAGAATCATGGTTTCCTGTACCGACGCGACCAAGACGTTCTTCCGATTCATGAAAAGTTGTAGTGGTTTCGAGGCAATGCGGCATCGCAGAACCCGAAGCGTTCGATTGAGTCAAATTTCGTATGAACATCAAAATGACTTTTGGCTTCAAAGTACATTAAACCGATCCCATTCCTATATGGGGACTAAGTCGTAACATAGACCACTATCGAAAATTGGTAGGCAAATGTGAAAAGGCTTCCTACCTTACGGGAAAAGAATACTAAAAATACATTATATCCACAAATACTCACCTTAAAGATATGTTTTACGAAGAATTGTTGTAAATTTTCATTGGCATAATTAATGCACAGCTGCTCAAAACTATTATCCTCGAAATTTTCAAAACCAAATATATCCAATACACCAATAGTGTTAATATTTTTCACAGGATTCTTATCAATCGTATCATTGATACGTTTAATAATATGTACAAATATATTGCCATACAAAGCTTTCACGAAAGCATCACGTCCTTCGAGAGCATACTCCTTCGACAAACTAGTGACCACATGTTCTCCATGAATTATCATTGTCTTCTGGGTTAACGTTTCACATAGTGCCTCTTTCGTTACGCCCAGCAACGACGAGACTCTGGCCGCATTATCTGGATCATTGACTTCAGCTGCTTCCATGTTACGGACCTCAGTGGCTTTAAAACCCAAATTACCCAAATGCAAAACTGCGGCTAATATATTGAATATTTGCCATTGTTCTTCGGGACTAAAGGATAGCACTTTCATTGCTGAACGTATATCCGCGAAATCTTTGGCATCATTCTTTCCAGGTAATTTATAACAACCACCTTGCGATAAATAATGATATTTCGCCGGTGATTGTTCCTGCAAATATAATCGTTTACGTTCCTCGGGACTCAGACCAGCCAACATGGAATAGAAAATGTGATAATTCCGTTCATCATGATTCTGTGAGACAATACGTGATTTCTCCAGCAGATACTGTTCAATTTTGGCACCCTGTATTACACCCGTTTCGGTGAAACGAATTTCAATGTATTTTCCAAATCTTGAGGAATTATCATTGCGTACAGTTTTGGCATTACCAAATGCCTCCATGATGGGATTCGCTTCAATAATTTGCTGTTCAATCCATGAATGTTTCCCACTAATGGCAGCCAAATATTGTAAAATCAATTTTGTACTCTCAGTTTTACCAGCACCCGATTCACCACTGATGACAATGCATTGATTTGTCTTCTCTCGTCGCATCTCTTGGAAGGCATTATCACTGATTGCGAATATGTGTGGCGGCAATTCATTGATTTTCTTGCCACGATATTCATTGATTTGTTTATTTGTATATATAGGCAGGACTTGGTAGGGATTAATTGCAACCAACATGGAACCGGTGTAGGTCTGAAATGAAGAAAGAATAGGATTTATTATTAATGGGAAATTCCATTTCTTAAGAAATAGTGTAATTATTGTTTTCAATTTTCGAAGCAATTAAATATTAATTTTCAGTTTCTGCTGCTTTCCTAAGAAAATTGAGGAACCGAGTCCCGAAATAGGGTGTATATGGTCATTCGATAAAAATCATATTAAATTACATAGTGGGCAAAATTGCCGTTAGATGGCGAAGCTCGCATCAGTAACGTATACACGAACCACTAGTATTGGATTGTAGGTGAAAACCAATGATCAATAGCAAAGACTCAAGCCAAGCCATTTAGCGGCACGCTCATATCTATTACAAGGACTATTAGACGCGTGGATTGTTTAAAGAAAAAATTTCAAGGTCATTGGAAGTGCATTTTTCCAGAACTATTAGAAGCTGGAGGCGTGGATTGTTTAAAGAAATATTTTTCAAATAATATTAGAGGCGTGGATTTTTTAAAGTAATATTTTTCAAAGACTATTTGAGGCGTGGATTTTTAAAAGGAATATTTTTCAAAGACTATTTGAGGCGTGGATTTTTAAAAGGAATATTTTTCAAAGACAATTTGAGGCGTGGATTTTTAAAAGGAATATTTTTCAAAGACTATTTGAGGCGTGGATTTTTTAAAGTAATATTTTTCAAAGACTATTTGAGGCGTGGATTTTTAAAAGGAATATTTTTCAAAGACTATTTGAGGCGTGGATTTTTAAAAGGAATATTTTTCAAAGACAATTTGAGGCGTGGATTTTTAAAAGGAATATTTTTCAAAGACTATTTGAGGCGTGGATTTTTAAAAGGAATATTTTTCAAAGACTATTTGAGGGGTGGATTTTTAAAAGGAATATTTTTCAAAGACTATTTGAGGCGTGGATTTTTAAAAGGAATATTTTTCAAAGACTATTTTAGGCGTGGATTTTTAAAAGGAATATTGTTCAAAGACTATTTGAGGCGTGGATTTTTAAAAGGAATATTTTTCAAAGACTATTTGAGGCGTGGATTTTTAAAAGGAATATTTTTCAAAGACTATTTGAGGCGTGGATTTTTTAAAGTAATATTTTTCAAAGACTATTTGAGGCGTGGATTTTAAAAGGAATATTTTTCAAAGACTATTTGAGGCGTGGATTTTTAAAAGGAATATTTTTCAAAGACAATTTGAGGCGTGGATTTTTAAAAGGAATATTTTTCAAAGACTATTTGAGGCGTGGATTTTTTAAAGTAATATTTTTCAAAGACTATTTGAGGCGTGGATTTTTAAAAGGAATATTTTTCAAAGACTATTTGAGGCGTGGATTTTTAAAAGGAATATTTTTCAAAGACAATTTGAGGCGTGGATTTTTAAAAGGAATATTTTTCAAAGACTATTTGAGGCGTGGATTTTTAAAAGGAATATTTTTCAAAGACTATTTGAGGGGTGGATTTTTAAAAGGAATATTTTTCAAAGACTATTTGAGGCGTGGATTTTTAAAAGGAATATTTTTCAAAGACTATTTTAGGCGTGGATTTTTAAAAGGAATATTTTTCAAAGACTATTTGAGGCGTGGATTTTTAAAAGGAATATTTTTCAAAGACTATTTGAGGCGTGGATTTTTAAAAGGAATATTTTTCAAAGACTATTTGAGGCGTGGATTTTTAAAAGGAATATTTTTCAAAGACTATTTGAGGCGTGGATTTTTAAAAGGAATATTTTTCAAAGACAATTTGAGGCGTGGATTTTTAAAAGGAATATTTTTCAAAGACTATTTGAGGCGTGGATTTTTAAAAGGAATATTTTTCAAAGACTATTTGAGGGGTGGATTTTTAAAAGGAATATTTTTCAAAGACTATTTGAGGCGTGGATTTTTAAAAGGAATATTTTTCAAAGACTATTTTAGGCGTGGATTTTTAAAAGGAATATTTTTCAAAGACTATCTGAGGCGTGGATTTTTAAAAGGAATGTTTTTCAAAGACTATTTGAGGCGTGGATTTTTAAAAGGAATATTTTTCAAAGACTATTTGAGGCGTGGATTTTTAAAAGGAATATTTTTCAAAGACTATTTGAGGCGTGGATTTTTAAAAGGAATATTTTTCAAAGACTATTTGAGGCGTGGATTTTTAAAAGGAATATTTTTCAAAGACTATTTGAGGCGTGGATTTTTAAAAGGAATATTTTTCAAAGACAATTTGAGGCGTGGATTTTTAAAAGGAATATTTTTCAAAGACTATTTGAGGCGTGGATTTTTAAAAGGAATATTTTTCAAAGACTATTTGAGGCGTGGATTTTTAAAAGGAATATTTTTCAAAGACTATTTGAGGCGTGGATTTTTAAAAGGAATATTTTTCAAAGACTATTTGAGGCGTGGATTTTTAAAAGGAATATTTTTCAAAGACTATTTGAGGCGTGGATTTTTAAAAGGAATATTTTTCAAAGACTATTTGAGGCGTGGATTTTTAAAAGGAATATTTTTCAAAGACTATTTGAGGCGTGGATTTTTAAAAGGAATATTTTTCAAAGACTATTTGAGGCGTGGATTTTTAAAAGGAATATTTTTCAAAGACTATTTGAGGCGTGGATTTTTAAAAGGAATATTTTTCAAAGACTATTTGAGGCGTGGATTTTTAAAAGGAATATTTTTCAAAGACTATTTGAGGCGTGGATTTTTAAAAGGAATATTTTTCAAAGACTATTTGAGGCGTGGATTTTTAAAAGGAATATTTTTCAAAGACTATTTGAGGCGTGGATTTTTAAAAGGAATATTTTTCAAAGACTATTTGAGGCGTGGATTTTTAAAAGGAATATTTTTCAAAGACTATTTGAGGCGTGGATTTTTAAAAGGAATATTTTTCAAAGACTATTTGAGGCGTGGATTTTTAAAAGGAATATTTTTCAAAGACTATTTGAGGCGTGGATTTTTAAAAGGAATATTTTTCAAAGACTATTTGAGGCGTGGATTTTTAAAAGGAATATTTTTCAAAGACTATTTGAGGCGTGGATTTTTAAAAGGAATATTTTTCAAAGACTATTTGAGGCGTGGATTTTTAAAAGGAATATTTTTCAAAGACTATTTGAGGCGTGGATTTTTAAAAGGAATATTTTTCAAAGACTATTTGAGGCGTGGATTTTTAAAAGGAATATTTTTCAAAGACTATTTGAGGCGTGGATTTTTAAAAGGAATATTTTTCAAAGACTATTTGAGGCGTGGATTTTTAAAAGGAATATTTTTCAAAGACTATTTGAGGCGTGGATTTTTAAAAGGAATATTTTTCAAAGACTATTTGAGGCGTGGATTTTTAAAAGGAATATTTTTCAATGTCTATTTGAGGCGTGGATTTTTAAAAGGAATATTTTTCAAAGACTATTTGAGGCATGAATTTTTAAAAGGACTTAATATGGTATATTGGTAGTTCCTTAACCTTATTCATCCATTTCGTAAAGTTCAACGAAATAAAGGTACTAATGTTGATTCATAACTTCTATTAATTATATCCGCAATCGATTTCTAAATGATTTGTTTATTTTAAATCCAACCTAACCCACAATACTCTGTTTCTTAAGTAACCCACTAAAGAAAACTTTATTTCTAAGAATGGGAAGAGAATTGTATATTATGGCTATAAAATATTTAAACACACTTCACTTTATCGAAAAACGAATTCTTGATTTTTATCAATATTTTTATTATTATAAGAAATTAGTACTTACATAAATCTTCTTCTGTTTGTAGCGTATTTCCAAATTTCTCAGAATTGTATATTCTTGTAGTTCACCCAGCGTTATCATATCATCGACACCGTTTTGTGATGTCAAATGCATTGCTTTGACAATATCTGAATTGGGTACCCAATATTGTTTCCCATAATCATCGGTAACTTGTGTACGATTTTTATCTGTTCGAACAACACGTGCCCCAAACGGTATTGCAAATTCACTGCGTGCATTCTCTTGTGGCTTGACCCATACATATTCAGCCTGAAAAATAGTAGGGAAATAATAATATTTATTGCTAGATTTATAAACGGGTAAATATAATATTGTAAAAAAAATTGTTGTATGTTGTAAAAGGCGAACAAGATAAGGAAACAATGTTTTTGCGAAATTTAGACCGAAGTAAAGTGATAGAAAAGTGATTTTTAAAGCAACTTCAAATAAATTAGAATGATATACATAGCGGAATATTTTTTCATTCCGTTTGTAACTCATCGAAATATTCATTTCCGACCCTATAAAGAATATATATTCTTGATCAGGGTAAAATTCTAAGACGATCTAGCCATGTCCGTCCGTCCGTTCGCCTGTTGTAACCACGCTATCTTCTGAAGGAATTGAGATAGGGTGCTGAAATTTTGCATAGGTTTGTCTTTTGTCTGCAGGCAGGTCAAGTTCGAAGATGGGATATATCGGTCCACGTTTAGGCATAGCTCCCAGTACCCCCCAATGTTCGGTATTTTGGGGTTCTTGAGTGCGTTTTTCAACCGAATACGCTGAAATTTGGTACATTGAGTTGTTATTTTTGCCTCCACAAAAAATTATAAATATAGGTAAACTTTTTTTGGTAGACCCCATATAACGATACCTCCTAATTTTCAGTATTTTGGGGTTTTTAATCGTATTTTTCCACCGAATTGACTGTAATTTTGTATTTTGAGTTCCTAATAGGTACCAAATCTCTCCACAATAAATTATGTATATAGTTCCATTTTTTCGGATAGCCCCCATATAAGGGTACCCCCAATTTTCGGTATTTTCGGGTTCTTGATTGCAGTGTACTATGAATGATGTGTGCTTAGTTTCGTGAAATCGGTTTAGACTAAGATAAGCTTCCCATATTTAGTTTCGCCCGATTTTAGGTGAATGGTGCAGCAAAGTCCCTATTCATCTTTCGATTTGCACGAAATTTGGCACAGCGTATTGAATTGCGTCATAATAATGTGTGCTTAATTTCATAAAAATCGGTTCAGATTTACATATAGCTCCCATATACATTCTAGTCCGATTTAAGGTAATTGGTGCAAAAAAAGTAAAAAAGTTTCGTGGAAAAAGAATATCCCCATGTAGTCCACATAATCCCCATTTAAAGTGAGTAGTTGGAGGACGCCGATCAAGTAAGCTGTATCCCAAAAGGAATATTGAATCTATTTTGGAAATAAGTTTTTTATTCTCCCGGAATCTGATATGCCACATAATATCGATTTCGAAGGACAAACGATATGTCAAAACATGGGATTATATATTAAATATTTTAAGTTATATCTGATATCAACTCGCGGAATCTAAGGTAAATATTTCCGGTTGCAAACATAATGAATCTCCACCTTGAGGTAAAGAGTACTACAAGTGAAAATTGACGTTCCATCCCACATTGAACTTTATTATAGCCAAAGAATTCGGATAGTGTGGCTAAAATTCCGATGTAAGAAACAAACTGATGTAGGAAACAAACAAACGGTGTCAAAAACATTTATTTATTTTTTCCAATCTACACTATTTCAAGAATGTCCCTACAAAATTTAAAGTGAAAACCTCAAGAACTCTTGAAGATATAGTCGATTTATTGTGCCAGCATCAAGTGGCGGCAAGAGTGATTCTCAAACTTTAAACTCATCTTTCTCGAAGCAGTGTTTTACGAATGGCGGACACGATATCTCAAAAACTAATAATGCAATGGGTTCCAAATTTTGACACGTTTCTCTGGGAGTGTATAGCTATCGTATGAACTAGGATAAAGCCAATCGATGAAGAACTTCCATATTCTTTAACTTAGTTTGTGGTCAAAAATAGGCGAATTTCCAAAAAAAAAAACCAGCAAGGAAAGTAGTAAAGTCGGACGGGGCCGACTATATGATACCCTTCACCACTATGGGTATACTAAATAGGACTATTATCATGAAATTGTATGAAATAAAATATGTGATATTTATCTATTAGTGAATCTACCTAGATCTATCCATAAATCGATTTCAAACAAATATAAATAGGTCATCCATTGGGCTATGTCTGTACTTCTAGAAAACGCAACTACGTAATTATATACTCAATTTTGTACGTTGTGCAAAATTTGATGTCAATCTGACTAACCTGAGGAGTTTGATGCCCAATTTACTTTAAAACGGGCGAAAATATATATGGAACCTCTATCCAAATATTAAGCGATTTCAAACAAACTTGTCACAGGTTAGGTTATACTAATTTCAGAACGTTTTGTTCCTATTGGTTCCATGGTGCGTCAATTACTTAAAATCAATCTATAATAAAAGGGAGCTATATCTAAATCTGGACCGATTTTCACGAAACAAGGCAGACATCATTCTAGGCTCAATTCAGTACGTTATTCGTGCAAATGGGAAGATATATAGGGACTTTGGTGCACCATTTACATGAAATCGGACGAAACTATAAATGGGAGCTATATAGAAATCTGGACCGATTTTCTTGAAACTTGACAGACATCATTCTAGGCTCAATTCAGTACGTTTTGCCAAATTTCGTGCAAATCGAATGATATATAAGGACTTCGGGAAGTCGGATGAATCTATATATGGGGGCTATATCTAAATCTTGACCGATTTTGCCGAAACTTGGCTGACATCATTCTAGACCTAATGATTAGGCTGTGCCAAATTTCGTGCACATCGAAAGATATGTAGGGACTTTGGGGCACCATTTACATGAAATCGGACGAAACTATTTATGGGAGCTATATCTAAATCTGGACCGATTTTCACGAAACTTAAGAGACATCACTATAGGCCTAATTCAATACGTTATGCTAAATTTCGTGCAAATCGAAAGATATATAAAGACTTTGGGGCACCATTTACATGAAATCGGACGGAACTATATATGGGAGCTATATCTAAATCTTGACCGATTTTTACAAAACTTGGCAGACATCATTCTAGACTTAAATGATTAGTCTGTACCAAATTTCGTGCAAATCGAAAGATATATAGGGACCGTTTACATTAAATCGGTTAAATATATATATGGGAGCTATATCTAAATCTGAACCGATTTTTCCCAATTTTAATAGGGTTCGTCTTTGGGTCGAATAAGTGACCTATGCCAAATTTCATCCAATTCGGATCATAAATGCGACCTGTACTTTGTTTACAATTTAACATGGACAGACAGACAGACGGACGGACATGCATAAATCGACTTAGAAAGTGATTCTATGCATATTCTCAAAAGGAACCATCTGTCTATCTCGTTTCCTTTTGCCTGTTACAAACATATGCACAAAGACATAATACCCTGTACCGCAGTGTGGTGAAGGGTATAAAAATAACCAGTAAGGAAAGTAGTAAAGTCGGACGGGGCCGACTCTAGGATACCCTTCACCACTATGGGTACATTAAACAGGACTATTAACATGAAATGGGATGAAATAAAATATGTGATATTTATCTAAATGTGAATCTACCTAGATTTGTCCATAATGTGTGTAAATCGACTTCAAACAAATATAAATAGGTCATCCGGTTGACTATGTCTGTACTTCTAGAAAATGCAACTACGTAATTCTATGCTCAATTTTGTACGTTGTGCAAAATTTGATGTCAATCTGACTAACATGAGGAGTATGATGCCCAATTTGCTTGATATCGGGCGAAAAAATATATGTAAGCTATATCCACATATTAAGCGATTTCAAACAAACTTGTCACAGGTTAGGTTATACTAACTTTAGAACGTTTTGTTCCTATTGGTTCCTTGGTGCGTCAATTACATAAAATCAATCTATAATAAAATGGAGCTATATCTAAATCTGGACCGATTTTCACGAAACAAGGCAGACATCACTCTAGGCTCAATTCAGTACGTTATGCCAAATTTCGTGCAAATCGAAAGATATATAGCGACTTTGGTGAACCATTTACATGAAATCGGACGAAACTATATGTGGGAGCTATATAGAAATATGGACCGATTTTATCGAAACTTGGCAGACATCAATCTAGGCTCAATTCAGTACGTTGTGCAAAATTTCGGGCAAATCGAAAGATATATATGGATGTTGGTGCACAATTTACATGAAATCGGACGAAACTATATATGGTAGCTATATCTAAATCTGGACTGATTTTCACGAAACTTGGCAGACATAACTCTAGGCTCAATTCAGTACGTTATGCCAAATTTCGTGCAAATCGAAAGATATATTGGGACTTTGGTGCACCATTTACCTGAAATCGGTCAAAACTAAATATGGTAGCTATATCTAAATCTTGACCGATTTTCACGGAGCTTGGCAGACATCATTCTAGACCTAAATGATTAGGCTGTACCAAATTTCGTGCTAATCGAAAGATATATAGGGACTTTGGGGCCCCATTTACATTAAATCGGACGAAACTATATATGTGAGCTATATCTAAATCGGGACCGATTTTCATGAAACTTGGCAGACATCATTCTAGGCCCAATTAAGTACGTTATGCCAAATTTCGTGCACATCGAAGGATATATAGGGACTTTGGGGCACCATTTACATGAAATCGGACGAAACTATATATGGGAGCTATATCTAAATCTGGACCGATTTTCTTGAAACTGGGCAGACACCATTCTAAACTCAATTCAGTACGTTATGCCAAATTTCGTGCAAATCGAAAGATATATAGAGACTTTGGGGCACCATTTACATGAAATCGGACGAAACTATATATGGGAGCTATATCTAAATCTGGACCGATTTTCACGAAACTTGGCAGACATCACTCTAGGCTTAATTCAGTACGTTATGCCAAATTTCGTGCAAATCAAAAGATATATAGGGACTTTGGGGCACCATTTACATGAAATCGGACGAAACTATATATGGGAGCTATATCTAAATCTGGACCGATTTTCACGAAACTTGGCAGACATCATTCTAGACCTAAATGATTAGGCTGTACTAAATTTCGTGCAAATCGAAAGTTATATAGGGACTGTTTACATTAAATCGGTTAAATATATATATGGGA